ATAGACAGGGAATATACAGTGTGTTTTCTATAGTAATACTGCATTATGGAGCCTATATATATACAGGAATATACAGTGTGTTTTCTATAGTAATACTGCATTGTGGAGCCTATATATATACAGGGAATATACAGTGTGTTTTCTATAGTAATACTGCATTGTGGAGCCTATATATATACAGGAATATACAGTGTGTTTTCTATAGTAATACTGCATTGTGGAGCATATATAGACAGGAATATACAGTGTGTTTTCTATCCTACAGATATGGTCACTTCCAGCCAGGACTGAAATCATTTACAGGGGTCAAGGGATTAACAGTCCTCTGTGTTAATGACGCATTGTCCTAGCAGTGTACTGACCTTGTGTTATGGCTGACCTATCGACATGGTACACGGGGCTGCATGGCACTTTAGTCAAACAATGTTCACCTTGTGTATTACTTTGGCCACTGAGGTTGCTATTCCCACTATGGCCCTAAAGGTATTACAGTAAATACTGCCATGATGCCAGTATGGTATATGTTTGTGGCCATAAGCAACTCATTGTGTGTATGCCAAGTCAATGAAGGAGTTTTCATAAGGAAGTCATTGTGTGTATGCCAAGTAGATGAGGGAGCTCTCATAAGGAACTAATTGTGTGTATGCCAAGTAGATGAAGGAGTTTTCATAAGGAAGTCATTGTGTGTATGCCAAGTAGATGAAGGAGTTTTCATAAGCAAGTCATTGTGTGTATGCCAAGTAGATGAAGGAGTTCTCATAAGCAAGTCATTGTGTGTATGCCAAGTAGATGAAGGGAGTTCTCATAAGCAAGTCATTAGTTATTATGCCAAAATGATGAAGGAGTTCTCATAAGGAACTCATTGTGTGTATGCCAAGTAGATGAGGGAGTTCTCATAAGGAACTAACTGTGTGTATGCTGAAGTAGATGAAGGAGTTCGCAAAGGAAATCATTGTGTGTATGCCAAGTAGATGAAGGAGTTCTCATAAGGAACTCATTATTGTGTATGCTGTAGATGAAGGAGTTCGTGATAAGGAACTAATTGTGTGTATGCCAAGTAGATGAAGGAGTTCGCAAGGAAATCATTGTGTATGCCAAGTAGATGAAGGAGTTCTCATAAAGAACTCATTGTGTGTATGCCAAGTGATAGATGAAAAGAGTGCTTATAAGAAGTCATTGTGTGTATGCCAAGTAGATGAGGAGTTCTCATAAGGAACTAATTGTGTGTATGCCAAGTAGATGAAGGAGTTCGCAAAAGGAAATCATTATTATTGTATGCCAAGTAGATGAAGGAGTTCTCATAAGGAACTCATTGTGTGTATGCCAAGTAGATGAAGGAGTTTTCATAAGCAAGTCATTGTGTCATGCCAGAGCAGATGAAGGAGTTCTCATAAGCAAGTCATTGTGTGTGCCCAAGTAGATGAAGAAGAGAGTTCTCATAAGCAAGTCATTGTGTGTATGCCAAGCAGATGAAGGAGTTCTCATAAGCAAGTCATTGTGTGCATGCCAAGTAGATGAAGGAGTTCTCATAAGGCGAGTCATTGTGTGTATGCCAAGTAGATGAAGGAGTTCTCATAAGCAAGTCATTGTGTGCATGCCAAGTAGATGAAGGAGTTTTCATAAGCAAGTCATTGTGTGTATGCCAAGTAGATGAAGGAGTTCTCATAAGCAAGTCATTGTGTGTATGCCAAGTAGATGAAGGAGTTCTCATAAGCAAGTCATTGTGTGCATGCCAAGTAGATGAAGGAGTTCTCATAAGCAAGTCATTGTGTGTATGCCAAGTAGATGAAGGAGTTCTCATAAGGAAATCATTGTGTGTATGCCAAGTAGATGAAGGAGTTCTCATAAGGAACTCATTGTGTGCATGCCAAGTAGATGAAAGAGTGCTTATAAGAAGTCATTGTGTGTATGCCAAGTAGATGAAGGAGTTCTCATAAGGAAATCATTGTGTGTATGCCAAGTAGATGAAGGAGTTTTCATAAGCAAGTCATTGTGTGTATGCCAAGTAGATGAAGGAGTTCTCATAAGCAAGTCATTGTGTGTATGCCAAGTAGATGAGGAGTTCTCATAAGGAACTCATTGTGTGTATGCCAAGTAGATGAAGGAGTTCTCATAAGCAAGTCATTGTGTGTATGCCAAGTAGATGAAGGAGTTCTCATAAGGAACTAATTGTGTGTATGCCAAGTAGATGAAGGAGTTCTCATAAGGAAATCATTGTGTGTATGCCAAGTAGATGAAAGAGTGCTTATAAGAAGTCATTGTGTGTATGCCAAGTAGATGAAGGAGTTCTCATAAGGAAATCATTGTGTGTATGCCAAGTAGATGAAGGAGTTCTCATAAGCAAGTCATTGTGTGTATGCCAAGTAGATGAAAGAGTGCTTATAAGCAAGTCATTGTGTGTATGCCAAGTAGATGAAGGAGTTCTCATAAGGAACTAATTGTGTGTATGCCAAGTAGATGAAGGAGTTCTCATAAGGAACTCATTGTGTGTATGCCAAGTAGATGAAAGAGTGCTTATAAGAAGTCATTGTGTGTATGCCAAGTAGATGAAGGAGTTCTCATAAGGAACTAATTGTGTGTATGCCAAGTAGATGAAGGAGTTCTCATAAGGAACTCATTGTGTGTATGCCAAGTAGATGAAAGAGTGCTTATAAGAAGTCATTGTGTGTATGCCAAGTAGATGAAGGAGTTCTCATAAGGAAATCATTGTGTGTATGCCAAGTAGATGAAGGAGTTCTCATAAGCAAGTCATTGTGTGTATGCCAAGTAGATGAAGGAGTTCTCATAAGCAAGTCATTGTGTGCATGCCAAGTAGATGAAGGAGTTCTCATAAGCAAGTCATTGTGTGTATGCCAAGTAGATGAAGGAGTTCTCATAAGCAAGTCATTGTGTGTATGCCAAGTAGATGAGGAGTTCTCATAAGGAACTAATTGTGTGTATGCCAAGTAGATGAAGGAGCTCTCATAAGGAAATCATTGTGTGTATGCCAAGTAGATGAAGGAGTTCTCATAAGGAAATCATTGTGTGTATGCCAAGTAGATGAAGGAGTTCTCATAAGCAAGTCATTGTGTGCATGCCAAGTAGATGAAGGAGTTCTCATAAGGAACTTATTGTGTGTATGCCAAGTAGATGAAGGAGTTCTCATAAGCAAGTCATTGTGTGTATGCCAAGTAGATGAAGGAGTTCTCATAAGCAAGTCATTGTGTGTATGCCAAGTAGATGAAGGAGTTCTCATAAGCAAGTCATTGTGTGCATGCCAAGTAGATGAAGGAGTTCTCATAAGGAACTAATTGTGTGTATGCCAAGTAGATGAGGAGTTCTCATAAGCAAGTCATTGTGTGTATGCCAAGTAGATGAGGAGTTCTCATAAGGAAATCATTGTGTGCATGCCAAGTAGATGAAGGAGTTCCCATAAGGAAATCATTGTGTGTATGCCAAGTAGATGAAGGAGTTCTCATAAGCAAGTCATTGTGTGTATGCCAAGTAGATGAAGGAGTTCTGATAAGGAACTCATTGTGTGTATGCCAAGTAGATGAAAGAGTGCTTATAAGAAGTCATTGTGTGTATGCCAAGTAGATGAAGGAGTTCTCATAAGGAAATCATTGTGTGTATGCCAAGTAGATGAAGGAGTTCTCATAAGGAACTAATTGTGTGTATGCCAAGTAGATGAGGAGTTCTCATAAGGAACTAATTGTGTGTATGCCAAGTAGATGAAGGAGTTCCCATAATGAAATCATTGTGTGTATGCCAAGTAGATGAAGGAGTTCTCATAAGGAAATCATTGTGTGTATGCCAAGTAGATGAAGGAGTTCTCATAAGGAAATCATTGTGTGTATGCCAAGTAGATGAAGGAGTTCTCATAAGCAAGTCATTGTGTGTATGCCAAGTAGATGAAGGAGTTTTCATAAGCAAGTCATTGTGTGTATGCCAAGTAGATGAGGAGTTCTCATAAGGAACTAATTGTGTGTATGCCAAGTAGATGAAGGAGTTCTCATAAGGAAATCATTGTGTGTATGCCAAGTAGATGAAGGAGTTCTCATAAGGAACTCATTGTGTGTATGCCAAGTAGATGAAAGAGTGCTTATAAGAAGTCATTGTGTGTATGCCAAGTACATGAAGGAGTTCTCATAAGGAAATCATTGTGTGTATGCCAAGTAGATGAAGGAGTTCTCATAAGCAAGTCATTGTGTGTATGCCAAGTAGATGAAGGAGTTCTCATAAGCAAGTCATTGTGTGCATGCCAAGTAGATGAAGGAGTTCTCATAAGCAAGTTGTTGTGTGTATGCCAAGTAGATGAAGGAGTTCTCATAAGGAACTCATTGTGTGTATGCCAAGTAGATGAAGGAGTTTTCATAAGCAAGTCATTGTGTGTATGCCAAGTAGATGAGGAGTTCTCATAAGGAACTAATTGTGTGTATGCCAAGTAGATGAAGGAGTTCTCATAAGGAACTCATTGTGTGTATGCCAAGTAGATGAAGGAGTTCTCATAAGGAACTCATTGTGTGTATGCCAAGTAGATGAAAGAGTGCTTATAAGAAGTCATTGTGTGTATGCCAAGTAGATGAGGAGTTCTCATAAGCAAGTCATTGTGTGTATGCCAAGTAGATGAAGGAGTTCTCATAAGCAAGTCATTGTGTGTATGCCAAGTAGATGAAGGAGTTCTCATAAGCAAGTCATTATGTGTATTCCAAGTAGATGAAGGAGTTCTCATAAGGAAATCATTGTGTGTATGCCAAGTAGATGAAGGAGTTCTCATAAGCAAGTCATTATGTGTATTCCAAGTAGATGAAGGAGTTCTCATAAGGAAATCATTGTGTGTATGCCAAGTAGATGAAGGAGTTCTCATAAGGAAATCATTGTGTGTATGCCAACTAGACGAAGGCGTTCTCATAAGCAAGTCATTGTGTGTATGCCAAGTGAAGGAGTTTTCAACTCATTGTGTGTATGGGGCCATGCTGAGTGGGGCTGAAGTCAGAGACCCCAGACAAGGTCACACCAACCTTCCTTATGAGGTACCTCTTCTTTTCTTCCTTGTCCAACTCTCGCTCTTCATTTGTCTGATCTGAAGCATAAAACATCGTTGTATCGCTTCATCATTTCACTGACAGTCTCACACATTACATCTAGGACTTATGTAAAGGTTACAATTTCATCAAAAAAAATTATTGTGAAGAAATGGTACCATATCGCTTCATGTAAACAAAGAAATAAAATGACTTGGTCAGTGGAGATTTTACCAAGAGATATGTATTCCAGTATATATGCCATATATATGCCATTTTAATTGCAGGTTTTACTCCATAAACATACAATAATTATAGTCCTACTCTATAAACATACAATAATTATAGTCCAGACTATGGTTATGTGGCACTCTGTCAACTTCAGGTTGTTTCAAGATTTGAGTTGTAATAATGAATGACGTTGTTGCTGTGAATAATGTAGAATAATGTAAAACAGAAATTGTATGTATTGGAGGCACAGAATTTTGCAAATATTGATGTAAACATTACTGTATGAAATTCAGAGTAAAAGAAACGTTAGTCCACATATGCAATGAATATGTTTATTTCCATATAGTGTACCAACAGGATTACCTGGTGTAATTCAATTCAGACCGATGACTGATCACTCTACGATATATGATGTACATAGGTTGGTGGTCCACAAATGCCATTGTGTCACTTCCCACTAATAGCCTGCTGCTTTCTGGTATATCACTGGACATTCTGGAGGCTCCTGCTCCCTCCCCACTCTACACCTAACAGTAGAAGTGCTCTCCCTATCACTACAGCATCCCATGACTGGACTACATTTCCCTAAATATTTTAACAAGACAGCAGCTTGCAGAGCTGATGATTTTTCTTAATCTTGCCACATCAAATAATACTCCTGCAAAACAAGTGAACAGGAAAACACCTACTGTACAAAATATTCCTCTGTTCTAACTCCTCTGGTGTGGGTCGTAAAACTCAACCGCCTGTAAAACAACAAATTCAAAGATGAAGGCAAGTGTTAAACAATGGTCTTGGAGAGTTCTCCTACTGATGATCAGGTCCCTTCTCTCAGCATTTACATTTACATTGTATAAGTCACTGAAACCCCCTGTTTCACATGTTTGAGGTATGGTAACTTCTTGTGAAAGCTGGTAGCTCTCTGCTATGACTGGAGACAATACATCTGATAGCTAGTTGCAGTCCATTCACGCACATCCTTCATGTTTAATCTTACCTTGTCAATTTGGAACCAATGGCTTCCTGTGTCTGTTTGTTTTTCGTTCTCACTCTTGTTCGGTATGATATTTTTCAATGAGCTCTCTCGAGATGGTCTGTTGTTGAGGAGCGAGCCAGGCTGTCTTGTCTTGCCACCTTGGCAGCTAAGCCAGCTGAAACATACAGTACAAGATTAGTATCTAAGAAATGACTACACCAACTATTTAAACAAGTGGTACAGCATTACCCAGAAAGCAACCCTCAGTCATAGTGATGTACACCAAGACCTAGTCTCTGAATATATGTACATATCATTTTGACAGAAACAAATAATTCCATTTAAAATTATAAAGAAGCTCCATTGAGATTCGAACCTTCGGAAATCTAGACTTGCTTCATAAAGGGCTTTACCAATGGAGCATTGCTGGGTGGAAGGGAAAATAATGTGGTTCAGGGACTGTGAGACAGACTAATAATGGAAAGGTGATCCTTCTCTGAATCTTAGAATAAAGGAATATAAAGTATCATGGCATTACAAGAATACAATGTATTGTGGTGTATGAAGAATATAATGTGCAATGGGGTACGAGAAAAAACGTGCCAAGGTATATGGGGAATACAATAGTGTCATGGTGTACAAGGAATACAATAGTGTCATGGTGTACAAAGAATCCAATAGTGTCAAAATGTACAAGGAATACAATAGTCTCATGGTGTATGAGGAATAGAACAGTGGCATGGTGTACATGCAATACAACAGTGGCATGGTGTACAAGGAATACAACAGTGGCATGGTGTATGAGGAATACAATGGTGTCATGGTGTACAAGGAATACAAGAGTGGCATGAAGCATGAGGAATACATTAGTGGCATGGTGTATGAGGAATACAACAGTGGCATGGTGTATGAGGAATACAATAGTGTCATGATGTACAAGGAATAGAATAGTGTCATGAAGCATGAGGAATACAATAGTGGCATGGTGTATGAGGAATACAATAGTGGCATAGTGTATGGGGGATGAGAACTGTGTCATGGCGTATGTTGTACACGTGTTTTCACATGCAGGTATTCCCACTTACTGTTACAATCATCATCTTTATAGTGGATTTCCTCATCAGAAGAATCAGAGTCACCGGGGATGTTGTCATAGTCCCCCTGTTGATGCAACGCTGCCGCTGCTGCCAAAGCTGCTGCCGCTGCTGCTGCTGATGCCGCCTGATGTGACTGTGTCATCATAGGGATGTTTTCCTTATCACTTTCACTGCAACAAGCCACAGTCAGAAGTCGGATATGAACTTCTTTCAAGGATTGGTGGTAAACAGAAGGCAGCAAACTATGTTAGGAAATAACAACGGCACATTTACAACAAATACCCACTTGTAACAAACTGATAGACTGACTGACTGAGTTTGTATTTACGCCGCTTTTAGCAATATTCCAGCAATATCACAGCGGGGGACACCAGAAATGGGCTTCACTCATTGTACCCATGTGGGGATTCGAACCCGGGTCTTTGGCGTGACGAGCCAACGCTTAAACCACTAGACTACCCCACCGCCCCCAAACTGATAGATATACAATATACTTTTTCTTAATGGATATAATGAACAAGCTTATAGCGAACTGACAGATACTGTGAACTAACGTTGAGGAATTGTGTGTCCTCTGTCTGTGCTGAACATGGAAAATATTCTGAGATATTTTTAAACGTTTTGAATTATTCACTGAGTGAATAGATCAAAACGTTTAAACATATTGAGTTGGAATATGTTCCATATTCAATGTCCATGAGTTTTGTGATCTATTTATTACACACAGGACGGGAAGACAGTGTCATCCATGATGACAAATCCAGTAAACAAAAACAAAAGGGAGATAACTCTGTCACGACTACATTATAGATGAAAATAAACAAATATAAATATTCAACTGAAAAATAATACTTATCCTCAGGACACTGAAATAGAATGTTAATTATCCACAAACCTAATGTTTTTTTGGTTGACATTTTGAGCTATAATGTTATTTAAATATATTGAGGTGGCAACAGAAAGTTTGGCATTATGACATCACTATTATTGAATAACCTAGTTTGGTTACACAACACTCGTTGCTGATAACTTTCAACTGGTTACACAACACCTGTTTCAAGTAGCCAATATTATCTCATAAAGATATTCAGAACATGTGTCTAATAACGGTAGCTATCCATTGTCATCCTGTGAGTACTTACCTACACCATGAGGTATGACGAAGACTTTTTAAAGTTTTATCAGAGTTTTCCTTTTTGTTCTAAAAAGAAAGACCTTAAACAGACAGGCAATTAATGCCATGACATAAGTTCTCTTGAAACCTATTGTCTTTTGACAAACAGGAATAGAAAAACAAATATACCATCAAACTGATCTCAAAAAAGAAATGTTAAGCAATTTTAGAACAGGAATGATTTACTGCTCTCCTCCACTCACTCGGCTGCTATGGTGACATGGGCTCTTGGAGGCCCTGGTTTTCCCATTGGTGTAGGGAGTGGTGATATTTTAGGTTCTCCTGAAATGCCTGCAGCAGAAGTGTTCATTGGCCTGGCTAAACTTGACGTTTTTTTATGTGAGATCGGTTTGGGTGCTGGGATTGGTGGAGCCTGGCCATTCTTGAGTTTGAGAGCACTTTTGCTGGGTCTTAGAGAGAGATCAGGTTCTGAGGCTGGGATGGTTTCATACGCTGGTGGGCCACTGTTGGACTCCTCAGAGCGGCCTGCTACTTCCTCCTCATCATAGTCTGAAACAAGAAATGGATACTGGACATAGACAAACTGCAAACACTGACTTTTTCATGATATATGTGACAGTTATTATTCAAACTGGGACACAATGTTTCCACAAAGATGTCCTTCAAAGATTTCACAAAGATACTCTTGAAGATACATATTCTTCAAATTGGACACATCATTATGCTTACCGTTCAAACTGAACACACTGACTAAGACCATCATAAATTCAGACCTACTTACAGAAGGAACTATCTGTGTGACCCTGTGTGCAGTGTTTACCAATAGAGGGAATTATCTGTGTGACCCCGTGTGCAGTGTTTACCAATAGAGGGAATTATCTGTGTGACCCCGCAGCAGTGTTTACCAATAGAGGGAATTATCTGTGTGACCCTGTGTGCAGTGTTTACCAATAGAGGGAATTATCTGTGTGACCCCGTGTGCAGTGTTTACCAATAGAGGGAATTATCTGTGTGACCCTGTGTGCAGTGTTTACCAATAGAGGGAATTATCTGTGTGACCCTGTGTGCAGTGTTTACCAATAGAGGGAATTATCTGTGTGACCCTGTGTGCAGTGTTTACCTATGGAGGGAATTATCTGTGTAAACCTGTGTGCAGTGTTTACCTATAGAGGGAATTATCTGTGTAACCCTGTGTGCAGTGCTTACCTATTGAGGGAATTATCTGTGTGTCCCTGTGTGCAGTGTTTACCTATAGAGGGAATTTTCTGTGCGACCCTGTGCGCAGTGCTTACCAATAGAGGGAATTATCTGTGTAAACCTGAGTGCAGTGTTTACCTATAGAGGGAATTATCTGTGTAACCCCGTGTGCAGTGTTTACCTATTGAGGGAATTATCTGTGTGACCCTGTGTGCAGTGTTTACCTATAGAGGGAATTATCTGTGTGACCCAGTGTGCAGAGTGTTTACCTATAGAGGGAATAATCTGTGACCCAGTGTGCAGTGTTTACCTATAGAGGGAATTATCTGTGTGACCCTGTGCGGAGTGTTTACCTATAGAGGGAATTATCTGTGTGACCCTGTGTGCAGCGTTTACCTTTAGATGGAATTATCTGTGTGACCCTGTGTGCAGTGTTTACCTATAGAGGGAATTATCTGTGTGACCCTGTGCAGAGTGTTTTCCTATTGAGGGAATAATCTCTGTAACCCTGTGTGCAGCGTTTACTTATAGAGGGAATTATCTGTGTGACCCTGTAGACGGAATTATCTGTGTGACCCTGTGTGCAGCGTTTACCTATAGAGGGAACTATCTGTGTGACCCTTTGTGCAGTGCTTACCTATAGAAGATGAAATTATCTGTGTGACCCTGTGCGCAGTGCTTACCTATAGGAGAAGAAATGATCTGTGTGGTGAGGTGCACAGTGCTTACCTATATGAGAAGAAATTATCTGTGTGACCCTGTGTGCAGTGCTTACCTATAGAAGAAGAAATGATCTGTGTGGTGATGTGCGCAGTGCTTACCTATAGGAGAAGAAATTATCTGTGTGACCCTGTGCGCAGTGCTTACCTATAGAAGAAGAAATGATCTGTGTGACCCTGTGCGCAGTGCTTACCTATAGAAGAAGAAATTATTTGTGGGATGAGGTGTACAGTGCTTACCTATAGAAGAAGAAATTATCTGTGGGATGAGGTGCACAGTGCTTACCTATAGGAGATGGAATTATTTGTGTGACCCTGTGCGCAGTGCTTACCTATAGGAGATGGAATTATTTGTGTGACCCTGTCATTGAACTGGACCAAAGAATTTTGTGCTTCTGCGGTAGGGGGATAGCTAGGGGGAGGTGGCTGCATCAACTCCATAGGTGGTACCACCGAAGGGGGCACCACGACTGGCCGCACACTAGCAGAGGACGATACTGCAACAGAACACCATCACGATTAGGAAGCTGACAAATGTACACTAGTATTTTATCACTGCCATACCTTGTATTTGGGCTGCAAACCTAATCTTCAGATTTTTATCAGACATGTACTGGTTGACCCAGAGCAGCGCTTTCATTTGTGGGAAGTATATACACAAGTATATACACAAGTATACAAGTATATACACAAGTATATACACAAGTATATACTCAAGTATACAAGTATATACACAAGTATATACACAAGTATATACACAAGTATACAAGTACATACACAAGTATATACACAAGTATACAAGTATATACACAAGTATATACACAAGTATACAAATATATACACAAGTATATACACAAGTATACAAGTATATACACAAGTATATACACAAGTATACAAGTATATACACAAGTATATACACAAGTATACAAGTATATACACAAGTATACAAGTATGTAATTTTTGGAGTAAAATTGATATTTTATACTTATCCTGACTCATGCTCTTTTGCTTGTCTTCTTCTTCTTCTTGCGAACATAGTGGAACACTTGTATCTCCTTATTTGAAGCTCCCTTCAAAGTAAAATCACTAATTGGTACTCACCACGAGCTGCTCCCCTTTGGTCCCCCTGGCGGGAAAGGTGTCGCCACCCTCTTGCCATGTGCTTCACTCTCTCCTGATTTTGGCGAGCCCAACACTTGGACTTACAGGAAATCCAAAGTGTTATGTGGGGAGGATGGGAGGAGCTAACCTCATGAGTCAGGATAAGTATAAAATATCAATTTTACTCCAAAATTACATATTTTCCTTATCCTGACTCATGCTCTTTGCTTGTAGAATCCCTAATGAAACGGAGGTGGGAGTAACAGAATACTTTGGATTTATAATTAGTGATTTTGTATAGATGTAACTGTAATATCCCCTCACGGGAACTTCATGAAGGCATAGACTTAGGATATTTCCTGTATTAAAACCATGGGTTTGATAATGCCATTAAAAGGGGAATTACATTATTAATATATTGAACAATACATATAATATATATATATATAAGTGACTCTAATAGAGGCACTGAAACTGAACATATCATAGTATAAGCTTAAGGCTGAATAACTTAAGCTGAATATATATACATAGCCCTAATAATTCAGAGTTATAAGCTAGATAAGTATGTATATAATACATATTAATCTTGTGAGGGTACAGTTAACGCCTACGAGGGACTGTCAGTTGCTGAGCGAGGGACCAGTGGTCCGAATGGTGAATGCTAGAGACATCTTCTGTAGTGATGTCTCTCAGGTAGTGATTCATGAAACACTATGTTAGATTTCCAATAGCATCCTTCCATGTCGTGTTCAATGAACAGTTACCATGCAGGGCTGCAGGTGGAGGCCAGTGCCCTGATCTCATGTGGATTTGATGCTGTTGGTGGGTCCAAGCCTGCTGCCTTGTAGGCACGGGAGGATGACAGTCCTTATCCAAATAGATATTGTGGTCCGTGACACTTCTGTTTGATTAAGTGAGGGCGATAAGGGGATGAATAAACGTTTGAGAAATCTTCTCCTTGTTTTGGATAAATCAAGTAAATAAACTTTGAGAGCTCTTACTGGACACAGTGATAAGTCTTGTGTATCTTGTGATCCGAGAATAGAGGATAAGCGCCGGGATGTGGAATAATCTGTCTGGTTGACCTGGCAGTTGATTTTAAGCGATGAAATCCCATCTTAGTCCGAGTGCTGTGTTATGATTGTCATCAAACTGTATCCTCGTAATCTAGAGCGTGAATTTCGGACATTCTTGCTGCCCATGGCTAGAGATATTACAAATAGTGTTTTCTGTGAGAGAAATTCAAAGTTGTCGATTCCAATGGTTCATAAACCTCACTAGTGAGGTGTTGTAACACTATATTCAGATCCCAAGCTGGAAGTGGAACTTCGCTTTTGGTCCTCCAATCGGAAAGCCCGTAGTAAGGCCAGTAACTCTGGAGATCTTGTCAACTTGACCCCGTTCTCATGGTGATTACAGAACTAAGCGCGGCAAGATATGTTGATATCGTTGAACCTTTTCAATGTTTGTTTTGGCGAAGGTAACACAAATAGTCTGCCACTTGAGGTTGTGAAGCCTCTCTCGCTGTAAAACCTTTCTTTGCTGCATAATTTTGAAACTGTGCCACTTGTCGTGCGTACAGAGTTACGAGTTGAGTAACGTAAGGCAAGCGTGACTGCTTTTGCCGCCCTGGCAGAATATCCTCTCTTGTTTAAACACATTTGTATACAGTCCATACGTGTAGTTGGAACACTCCTGGGTTTCATGCACTTGTTTGGTGTGAGGATGAATTAACAGGTTTGGCGCTTGGTAGCTCCAGTGCTGGTTGACCGACTTTCTTGAATTAGTATGGAAACCGTTCTGGCTAGACCAGTAGAGGCGCGACCAAAGTGAGTTGTAGGCTCTTTGTTTGTCTGATTTTCTGTAATACTTGAGGTATTATTGCTGGCGGCGGAAACGCGTACGCATTGAGGCCTTCCCATGATAGACTTAGAGCGTCCGTTGCCCAAGCTTGAGGGTCTGGGACTGATGACACGAATGTCGGTAGTTGATTGTTGAATCGTGTGGCGAATAGATCTATTAGCGGCGCTCCTAATTGCTTGATTATCTGTGCAAATATTTCCCTGTTGATCATCCACTCTGTCGGTGATGGTAGATGAGGCCGAGAGAGAGCGTCTGCTAGTACATTTCTGGCTCCGGGAATGTGAACTGCTCTGACATGTAGATTTAGATCTTGTATTAGATCGAACAGTTGAAAGCTTAGGTTCAAAAGGTTCAGCGATCTCGTTGAGCCTTGCTTGTTTACGTAGAACGCCACTGTCGAATTGTCTGTATGGATCATTAGGTGCGCATTTTGTAGAAATGTGCTCCAATGTAGGATGGCGTTGATTTTGCTTTCTTGCTGATTCCATAATCCTGATATCGTGTGGTTGGCGAGATGAGCTCCCCAACCTTGGAGTGACGCGTCTACATATAGATGGGTTTTGAATTCCTGCTCTGCTAAACAAATCCCTTCGCAGACATTCGATTTCTTGGTCCACCATAGTAGATGAGGTCTGAGATGTTTCGGTAGACTGAATGGTTGTACATCGTTGAGATGTGCGTTGATGAGGACCTGTAGGGGACGTAACTGTAATCTGCCTGTGACAGTCCTAGTAGGCTCTGCCATTGTCGAAGTGGCAACGGAGAGAGTAGAGCTGGTGGAATGGTCTGTTGTATCTTGAGCCAACGGTCTTCTGGTACAACGATACGGTTGCGATTTGTGATGAATCGAATACCTAGGAACTGTAGGTCTTGCGATGGTACTAGGTCCGACTTGCGTAAGTTTACTAACCATCCTAGTTGTGTTAGTAGCTTTATGATGTAATTTAACTGTAGTTTGAGACGCTGTGGATCTTGATCTACTTGTATCCCGTCGTCGAGGTAAAATGCACTGCGTAGCCCTTGACGATGTAGAAAGGTGATAATCGGTTTCGTTATCCTCGTGAATAGCCAGGGGCTGATGATATTCGAATGGGGAGTACTTTCCACTGGTAATGTAGCTCTTCTAGAGTAAACCGTGGGTATTTCCTGGAATCGGGATGAATGGGGATGTGCAGGTAGGCATCCTGTAGATCTATGCTGCCCATGTAGTCCATAGGGATCGAATCATCTGGCGTAACTGAGGTAAATGTATCATCTTGCGAAACCCGATTGGTTTGTGTAGATAATTCTTGTTGAAAAAGCTCATGTTGTAGATGAGTCTGTATTTCTCCGTGGAGTTTTTCTTGGGAACTAGGAAAACTGGGGAGTAGAAACCTGGTTCGATGTTTGCTTGATCTATTACTTCTATGGCCTGTTTGGATAGGAGTGATGAAACAGCCTCTCTTAACTTTGGTAGTTGTTGCGCTTGTAAATCGAACTTGAGGGGTTTGATTGTCAGCGGAGGCTTGGCCTGTAGTGGGATACGAAATCCGTGTTGAAGAATGTTGGAGACGTAAGGGTCTTGCAATATTCCCCAGTTTTCCCAGTGTAGTTGGAGGCGTCCACCCACTTGTGCTGGCTGTACTGGAACGGCTGGGGGTGGAAGACTCCAGTCGTTCCGAACCTGTGTTTCAGCGTCTATAGTTGCGGGAACCTCTGGGTGTCCTGCCTCTTCCTGACCCTCCTCTATAGTTGCCATATGGGCGTCGAAAAGAATCTTTACCTCTAGAGCTGGCTATCTTCCTGTCTCTTGCTCTTTGTAGGCCCGTGAACTTAGATCTGCCTGAGTATCTTTGTGAAGTCTGACGAATGACGCTGGCTAGTGTGTCCATCGATTTAATCATAAGGACTTCCCTGGAATCCTTAGAGACTTCCTTGGCGACTTTGTCAATTTCTCCGTCAAAGATGGATGTTGTCGACCACGGGGCTGTATAAAGTGGGGCTGTAAAGTTCTCACCCCAATTGCAGGAAGCGAGGAGGCCTTGACGACGAGCTAAGGTCAGTGCTGCTGAAACAGATGTAAGATGATCCGTTAAGAACTGCTGATCTTTCTTTTGCATAAGTAAGGCAGAGTAAATCATTCTATCATCTTCAGTCGTGGAATCACGGAATCTAGTAATAAGAGTCTCATTGATCGTCCTAGATCTATTTAGCCCAAAGAACATACGTCTCGTCATGGTTTCTATATGAGCCAACTTGCGATCATCCATCTTGTAAATCTTGTTCTTGACATCGCTGATGATCTTATAGTTCTCATCGATGTCCTGGGCTTTGTAGAAGGGGTCCATGTTATGCGTGGAGAACTTCTTGGCATGAAAGTTTGGCAGATGTGGTGTCTGAACTTTCGTAGCTTTCTGGAAAGCTGCATCTAGATTCTGTGGCACTGCCGCGATCGGGTCGATCGGGGGTAGTGTGATCGCATCTGGATCGTCTTCTTTCATCAAATAAGTCTGCGCTGTATTGCCACTTTTAGATGGTGATGAGAGATCTA